CATCTTGAATCTGGTTTGCTGTGTTTTCACGGAGCTGAGGCTGGCTAGGCTTGGGAGGACCCCATATGTAGTCAGTCCAGACTGTGTGGCTGGATCAGATCTCTCTGATCTTCTTTTTGTTGTTTTGATGACTGCTCTCCAGTCCAAATGAATTGCCGCTCCGGCTAGGAGTTCTACCTTCTCTTCTGACTGATTTCAAACTGTTTCTTCCATTGGGTTCTTTAATGCCTGCGTCTACACGATCGCAAACGAGAGAGAGAGAGAGAGAAGAGAGAAGCTTCTGAGTGTTGCTCTTGAGGGGGTGAGGAGAGGGAAGAGGAGTGTTCGTCCCAGGCAAGTGAGGAAGTACAGACCCCTCTGGAGAGACTTATTGACACCCTCATCCTCCATCATGGCATCTGCAGCAGATTGGAAGCTGCAAATGGACGCTGCCCCTGAGGCAGAGAAAGCGCAGTACCGGTTCTTCTACGAGAAAGCATTGAAGAGGGAGGAGGAAGAGAAAAAGAAGGAGAGGGAGGAAAAGGTAAAGGCTCATGAAACCATCTTTTGTACATTACCTGCCCTAACCGATGAGGAGGTGGAAGAGAAAACCGTTCCACTCCTCCGGGCTTTGGTGGATGTCCGGACTGTTGAGGACCACGCTGGCCAACTCGCCAAAGTATTCGACGAGCTTAAGAAGTTGCGCGAGGACATGACCCTGATGGCGCAGCAGCACCGTGACCAACTGGAACAGCTTGCTAATGTGCAGCCAGCCCAAAGCACCCTTCCATCTACCTACCCTGCTTCTAGTGCTGCGTGTCAGTCTGTTTTTGCCCCTCTAAATGTGTCTTCTTCTACTTCTTCATCATCCTTGAGTGTGGCTAACAGCCAATCCGGATCTGCAGCAGGTCCAGACCCCGCTGCTGCTGCTGCTGCTGCCGCAGCGGCAAGTGGTGGTGCAGGGAATTCTGGAACTGTTGCAGCCCCGGGCCCGGACCCAGCAATGGCTGGGCCAGGCGGCAACTTTGCTTACATCGACAGGAAGGCGGCGCAGATTCCGTCCAAGTATGACGGAAAGGACGACGTCGAGTCTTGGATCAGCTCCATGCGATCCTACTTTGATGTATTGGGGACACCCCCGTCCACTCAGTCGTCTATCCTAGGGACCTATGTGGAGCCCGTCGTGAGAGGTTTTCTAGAAACCCAAACTGTCCAATCAGGCTATAAGAGAATAGACCTGAACAAATGGCTAAAGGCTACGCCTACTGCCGCACTTGAGGATCTCTTGATCAAACAATATGCTGATCCACATGCTGCAGTTAAAGCAAGACTTAAGCTTGACAAGCTCAAGCACAGCAAGTGGACCGACACCATGCACAGCCTGCAGCAGTATGTTAGTAAACTCTTTGCTACTCTGGATCTGGAGAAGACTGCGCAGCCCTGTCTGGATGTGATAAAAGGAACGGTCCCCTCTACTCTGAAAGATCGCCTAGGGCTCGGGCTCAGCGGATATACAGATTGGCTTACCCTCATGCGGGACTTAGTCAAGCCGCTGGGCCCGGTTCCCAGCACGTGCTGCTCCCCACGAATAGATTGGAGCATTTGATTTCTTAAAAAAAAAAAAAAAAAAAAAAGGAGGATCTGGCACTGAAGTCTCATGGTCTGAGAACACTTTGAAATGGCGACCCAAGAGGTAGTATTTCCAGTGGTCTAGTGCCTCTCTCAAGGCATAGAGCTCTCTCATGTAGGTGGAAGCGGCTACCTTGTGACTGGGCATGCGTTTGCTGTAATATTCAAGCGGACGTAAGCCATCACCATCGTCTTGCTGCAGCACCGCACCAATCCCATACAAACTCGCATCCGTAGTTACTACGAATGTAAGCTTGGGATCTGCAATGCGGAGCACTGGATGACTCACCAAAGCCTCTTTCAGTGCTTCAAAGGCTGTCGTGCACTCTTCATTCCATGCGTAGGACACATTCTTGCTTGTTAGTCTAGACAACGGACGGGCGATGATAGAGAATTTTGGCACAAACCTACGGTAGTATGACGCAAGACCAAGAAAAAAACGCAGCTCGCGGACATTCGCAGGTTGGGGCCATTTTTGGATGACCTCAACTTTGGTTGCCTCGGGCTCTAGGCCTGCAGCAGACAACCAATGTCCAAGGTAGATGACGTTGTCCCTCCCAAACTCAGATTTCTCCAAGCTGAGATGGAGCTGCGCGTCCTTGAGGATCTGCATCACTTCCTCAAGGTGTCTCATGTGCTCTTCCATCGATTTGCTGAAGATTAGTATGTCATCCAGATATACAACAACAAATCGATTGATCTGATTGCGAAATACCTTATCCATGAGACTTTGAAACGTGGTTGGTGCATTCGTGAGACCAAAGGGCATGACTGTGAATTGTACAGCCCATCGCGAGTTTTGAATGCAGTTTTGTGCTGGTCTGCAGGTTTGACCTCAATCTGGTGGTAGCAAGACTTGAGATCGATCTTGCTGAAAACTTTGCACCCACCTGCAGCGTCGAGCAGATCATCGATTCGTGGCAAAGGATATGCATTCTTTCGTGTGATTCTATTCAATCCGCGGTAGTCAATACACATCCGCAGTTTGCCTCCTTTCTTAGGGACAAACACACCGGTGCACCAAACTCAGACTTACTTGGTTTGATCCATCCCTTCCCAATCATCTCATCAAGCTGCCGTCGCGACTCCTCCAATTCGCCTGCGCCCATACGATAGACACAGCCCTTTGGAGGAGTGCTACCTTCAATCAACTCGATCTTGTGTCAGACCGGACGCATGGGAACTCCATGCGGTTCGGCCAAGACTTCTGGAAATCGGTTGAGAAGGTTGCGAATTTCTGATGGGATCTCCAGAGGTGGATCATCACTCTCGGGTGCAAGCATACCAGATTGCATAGGTGCAGCCAACACAACAGGATTGGAGGTGGAATCATTTGGACTAGAGGTAGATTTAGTAGAGGTAGATTTAGTAGAGGTACAAGTAGTTGCCTCAGAAGTAGAAACACCATGCAAAGTGGAATCATTATGTACAGCAAAAATAGAAGGCACATGAGCAGGCCTAACAAAGGCTATATACATTTGCTTACTGGTTTTGCGCCTGCGCCAGTTTTTGCAGAATTGCATTGCATTGAGAAAGGTCACTTGGGACTCGCGCGGCTCATCCAAGAGGACTGGACGCTCGATTCCCATGGCATTTTTTACCATGAATTGTGAGTCCTTCCACGTGGTTCTTTCACATTGGGCCTGCAACCAGCCCAAGCCAATAACCGCGTCAAAGGGGCACTGATCAAGGACATAGAAGTTCAATTCATGCGTGATTGTGCGGTCAGCGTCAAAGGTAGTGCGCACACCTTTGACTGCATGCGTAGATGTGACAACCTCTTGGTTGCCTACTTGGGTCCGACAAGGATTCTGCAAAGTCACTTGCTTCATCCCCAATCGTGCCTTACGAATGTCGTGCGGTGAGAAGTAGTTGGCGGTTGCACCACAATCAGCCAACGCACGGACGTAACGACCATTAATGTAGAGTTTGAAGAAGATCAACTTCGTTCTCCCTTG